TTGTTCCTTTGGCTGTCTCTCCCAACTTCACCTCAGCTAGGTTCATATTCTATTACAAAATAAATATAAGAGAGAGGACAGCTGGCAATAGTCTGAGAGTGCATTATAGGAGATGTGACCAAATCCTATCATTTCCTGAGGAAAACAATCTTACAAGGTAGAATTTTTTTTCTTTTGTTTTTAAAAAAAATATTCTCAAGCTCCAACAGAATGAAATAATTTTAATAGTACTTCAACTTTTGCGTGTACAAGTCTGAAGCAAGTTAAGCTATCCCTGGGTGATATAACATGAAAGCCAATGTATTGTGGGTTTTTTGTGCTTTTTGTTTTTTCAAGAAATATTTTATTTTACTAATTACGAAAAGGAAACCAAAAGTGCCGCATGTCATGGGACAGTCACAGAGAATACTTATCCTAGTTGGAGCACATTTTATTAACATCAACAGCATGTCCTTCCAAAGTTAAGTCAGTGTATTCAAACCTTCCCTCAGCATACTCTGGTGGCTAGGAGCAGGTAGACACTCACGATAGCCTGGGACATGGCCCAGGAGCGTGGTGCGGGTCTCCCTGAAGGTGCTCCACACTCATCTCCTGGCTTCCCGTCGTCCGTCACACAGCCCTGGGGATAATCTAGCTGATGTTCAGCCCACAGCCATGAGCCAGGAACAGAGTAAACAGGAACAGGCTCAGGAAAGGGTAGAGGCACACCTTTCAGTGCTCTGAATACCACTGCCAGTCTCCCCGACACTCACCAGAAGTGATCCACTGTCATCAGAGAGTAGAAGTTTGTACTGGGAGTTGTTGACAATACAATGTCCCATCTGAAATTTTCTTTGTTTCAGGCCGAGGGGGCCCAGGACCTGCCCAGAGAGTGCCCAAATCCGGGCGTTCCAGCTCCTTAGACGGAGAGCACCACGATGGATACCACAGAGATGAACCTTTCGGGGGCCCTCCAGGCAGTGGCACCCCGTCTCGAGGCGGCCGGAGTGGCAGTAACTGGGGTAGAGGGAGTAACATGAACTCTGGCCCACCGAGGCGAGGAGCTTCTCGGGGTGGTGGAAGGGGTCGGTAGAAGTTGGAACTGAGTAACCTGAAGCCTCTCTGGACAGTATTTAAGAACTTGTGGACTTACCAAGAGAAACAAAAGGAAGCCTGCACCATTGTAGCCCTGAACTCTTTTCTGGGCACCTGAATCCCAGGAACCCTCAATGAGGTCTTCAAGATGAAGAGACTGCTGCCGGCCACCAGCGTGGCTGGCCTTGTCCTGTCCTGTCCTGTCCCCCTCATTGCCCCAACTCCCATGTTGTTTTGTGAAGATAAAAAAGCTGGGATCTTTTTTTTTTTTTTTTTTAAGTGTCACAAGACATGGGGCACGTCCACAAATTTAAGTTCCTGTCCATTTGGAAATTTGTTTCTATGTGTACAGTTTGTCAGAGAAAAACATAAAGTTTTTGTATGAATACAGAATGTGATTTACGCAAGAATTAACAGAAAACTAGTTGTGGAGTGCTTGCCTTAAGGAAATCTTTGGTTTCCATCGCATCCCATCTGCCAAGGAGTGCACAATTGAGCATATTAACTGCCAGGTCATTTAAATTAATCCCAGCTGTGAACTTTGTGGCTTTCAACAAATTGTGTTACACCATTTTGGTGATCGAGTGAGAAAGTCTTGAAAACTACTCGAATGTAGTTTGTAGTAGGTTCAAATTTTTACTCAGACTTGCCCTGACAGATGGAAAATTATACTCTGAAGAGAAAATGCAATCTTCTGGCTGTTCAGTGAGGGAGCTCCCCCTTGGATGTATCTCCTAGGAATCACTGTTTAGATTTGAATCTGCTTAATCAGAAATCCAGTCACATGCCCTTTAGATAACTTTAAATCACACATGGAGTTGATAAGAAATGGACCAAAATAGCTCCTAAAACAATTTTGCAACACTTAATCTTCCTCTTCCATACTAGTTATGTGAAAATAGGGCAGGGCATGCTTCTAACTCATAGTAAGCCAGACACATCTTGTCCATGGGAAATTCTTTGTTTGAAATAAACATAACATTTGGTCCAGTTTGGGTTGGAAGCCAAAAATTCAGTTTATTATACATACCCCATGATACTTTCTATACTGACCTTTATTTTGGTTTTACATGGAAGCTTTTATTATTAAAAGGACTGTCCTATGGCCACCTTAACATTTCATTACATTGACAGCTTTACTTTGGCATCAGTCGGATTTATTTGGCAGATTTAGTAGTGCTTGGTTTCTTTTTTTCTTGAGACAGGCTCGCTCCATCACCCAGCTTGGAGTGCAGTGGTGCAATCATGCCTCACTACAGCCTCAACCCTGCCTCAGCTTCCCTGTAGCTGGGACCACAGGCGCACACCACCATGCCCAGCTAATTTTTTTGTATTTTTGGTAGAGATGGGGTTTCACCATGTTGCCCATGCTGGTTTCAAACTCCTGGGCTCAAGCAATCCACCCACTGTGGCCTCCCAAAGTGCTGGGATTGCAGGGGTGAGCCACAGCAACTGGCCACTGGTGCTGGAAGTTTCAGTGGTCGCTTAGAAAAGGGATACTGACATAGTTTAACAATATATAAAGATCTAACCGGTTCTCTATGAACGTAAAAAACAGCAAAAGCTAATTGATTTCTGTGGAGAAAATGTCAGCCATGCACGCTGCTTTTCAGTGTTACAATCTAGAGGCTGAGTATTATTACTATTTTTTCACTTTGAAATTACAGCTTATTTATCAGCACCTCCCCATAAACATATTAGGAGTCCCAAGACTGCTTTAGGTTATGGGTATTTCTTCACTCACCCCTAACCGGTATAGCTTAGAGCGAAACTGCAGTCAAATTTCAAGAAACTAAAACTGGATCCAGAGAACCCATATCAAGATTAGACATCTTTTCCTGAGATTCTAGTGTAAAGAATTTCATTATTTTGGGCTTTAACTTTAAAAATATAGTATCAGTAAGCAGATAACCAGATCACATTTAAAAAAATTTCATTTTACCATTTAACTCTACTGGACTTGACAGATCACACTTTGAGAAGAAAACAAAAACCTCTATATTACTTTTATTAAATATATATATATATCCTTTAAAAACATCACTGTCAGAATAGATACTAGATGTTGTGACTTGGAGCTTATAAAAACTGTATTTTCAATGTTTGAATTGAGAAAAAATATTTTGAGACAGTCTCATTCTGTTGCCCAGGCTGGGGTGCAGTGGTACACTGCAGCTCACTACAGCCCCGACCTTCTGGGCTCCAGCGATCTTCCCACTTCAGCCCTGCCCTGAGTAGCTGGGATCACAGTTGTGCTCCACCACAGCTGGCAACGTTTTTAAACATTTTTTTGTGGAGATGGAGTTTAACTATGTTGCCCAGGCTGGTCTTGAATTCCTGGCCTCAAGTGACCTCCTGCCTTGACCTCCCAAAATGCTAGGATTACAGGTGTGAGCCAACAGCTGAGAAATGTCAAAATTTTAAGTGTTTACAAAATAAACATTGTAAAAATTGTAAAACCCCCAACGATTGCAAATTCTAGAGAAATTTAAAACTAGAACAGAAATTTAGGGGACTAGAAAGAGCAGCCAATGGCATAAGTCTTTATAACTGAAAAAATAAATCATCCTGAAAATACTGCATTTGCTTTCTCAAGAGCAGCCTTTTGAGGTAGGTAACCTTGTTTACTGACAGGGAACAAGGCAGTGTTCTTGACCAAAACTCAGGGTGGGTAGCCTGCAAGCCTACAGTGTGAATGCTGGCCACTTGTGTCACTTCTTGGGACAGGGCTTAGGGACCTGACTTAGGAAAACACATTTTGGGGTTGGAGGGAGCAGCAGCACTGCAGGACAGACACCCTGTGAAGGCAACACTGGGATCCAGCTCAGTAAGATCATTATTTGCAAACTGTGCAAGCCAGTGCACAGAAAAAGTAGTGGTCCTCAACCTCAGGGAACACAGAATCACCTGTGGCGCTTTAAAAAGGTTCTGATGCATCCGAGTCACGGCACCAAGAAGAAAAAAATAAAAAAAGGTTCTGATGCCTGGGACCTAGTTCCCACGTTCTGACTGCATTGATCTGGAGGTGTGGCTCTTCAAGTAACTGATAAGCAGTCAAGTGTGAGAACCACTGGCACAGAATGTTTATATTCCAAATATATTCTACTTCCTAGTGTATTGCTACTGACAAGACGTAGTTTTCTGGACTCAAGAGTGTTAGGCTCATACTGGCAATAAATTAAGGTAGGTAAAAGTAAGTGCTGAACCTAAAATGAAGGAAACGGCAATTAGATATGAAAAGCATCTTAAGATCGGCCTGCGAATTGTAAACTAGTTTACAAAGCAGACCATAAAGTGAAGAGTAATTCGAGCTTGTAGAAATCCATGCTTTCCACCAGATACAGGAATTCCGGACGTAGAATTATCTTCCTATTTGCAGGATTTCTTCCGAGACCGCTATGCATGTACGTGCCCCTTCCTGGATCCCACGCTTCTTGGGGCAGGAAATTTCTTTGGTCCATCGCTTTCGACGTGAAATACAGAACTAATTTTCCCTTCATGTTATCAGGCACTATTTTATGATGGCGTTAACTGAAGAAAAAGCCCAAGATAAACCATCTTAAATAAGTACTTTTAAAAGTCCAGTGGCTGAATTCGGTGTTTAATCTGATACCCTTCCGGATTCGCTGACACGGAAGCATGAGATAACAACTTCCAAGTCTCGGTATAGTCAAAACAACAAAGTACCGTCACCAACCTACATCTACCACTGGATTTTTAAATGACAAAACAGCCTGAGAAAAGAACAGCTAATTCGAAGAAAAGCCATTTTTCTTTACTCAGCCGAACCTAAGACCACAGCTACTTCGAGAGCAACTTAATAACCGTCTCATATCCTGTCACCAGTTCAATGACAAAATCTCCAGAGCACGTTCCGAGTCCAGCACAAGACGCTGACATTCAAGAGCTCCCGACGCTGCTGTCGCCTCCCGTGCCAGCAGCCGCTCCCAACTTAGACTCGCAGGCGGTCGCGGAAGGGCCTTCGCCGCGGGGTCCCGACACCCGCGTGCAGTCCTCGGCTCTGCGGGCGCTGGCTCCGCGTCCTTCCCAGGTGGCGCGGGCGCGAGGTCCTCACACGGGCAGAGCCTTGGAGAGGCCGGCGCCGCGGCTCAGGCGACCCAGCGCGAGGCGCAACGCCGTGCCGCCGCCCCAGGGCAGCAGCCCGACCAGCGCGGCCAACAGTGCGGCCACCTGCGCGCCCGCGCCCAGCACCGTGAGCAGCGTGCTCCGCAGGCTCAGCGCCGCAAATAGCGTGGCGCCCAGCGCGGCCCCGTAGAGCAGCGCGGGCCGCGACGGCGCCTCTTCGCAGCGCAGCAGGCGCCCGCACGCCGCGCCGCCCCGCAGCAGCGCGCCTCCCGCCAGAGCCAGCGCCGAGCCCAGCGACCAGAGCAGCGCGAACTTGCGCGCGCGCAGCAGCAGCACCGGCGCGTAGAGCGCGGCCAGGCCGAAGCAGAGTGCCGCCAGCAGCAGGCACCCGCCGCCCGCCGCCAGCCGCTGCCCGCGCGTCACGCTCGGCAGGCACGCCGGGCCCGCAGCCGCCGACTCCGTCGAGCTCCGCGACCACGCCCAGCGCAGGCTCGCGCGGCCCAGCCACGCCCCCGCCGGCCCGTCTCCGGGCTCCTCCGCCTTCCCCGCGGCAAGTAACGGCTCCGTGGCCGCCTGGCCGCCCGCTTTCCCCTGCGCCAGGTACTCCTGCAGCTGACGGTGGAGGTCCGCCATCTTGGGTAAGGCGGTAGCTGGAGGAAAAAGCTACCGCTCATTTCCGGCCCTCCCCTGCCGCGGACGGAAGCGGCTCCGCCTTCGGGCGGCAATTGGTCGGCCGCGGCGAAAGGGGCAGGGCCGCAGCACTCGCGGAGGCGGGTGCTTCCTCGGCAGACCTCTGCTGTGTCCCGGAATACCGCGGGCTTGCGTGCTGCCAATCCGCCTTCAGTCGCCCTCCCATTCCCTGACCCTCTTCTTTGTCCCGAGTAGGAGTCCTTACGGTCTGGCTAAGTCCTGCCAGCATTAAGTTAGTTGGAAGGCCAGGGTGGATGTGGCTCTACGGGGGCACAAGAGGGTCCCTTCTGCTGATGGAAATGCCCTACGGCCTGTCCGCGTCTACCGTGGCGGTGATGTCGTGCTAGTTTTGCAACATGGAGGAATGGGTAAAGGGTACACAGGATCTCTCTTGTTTCTTACAACTGAACACAAACTTAGAGTGATCTCAAAATAAAAATTTAAAAAGTTCACACTTGTGTGACTCAGGTGGTTTGTTTTTTGGGAACGTCGCGTCCTGATTTGTCATTTCACTTTTAGTAATAGTGACCATCCTGATCACTTACCATGGGGTTGATAAAGGAAAGATTGACCCCCACCATGCTCAGCCTGCTTCTCTATTCGGTTCTCAGTTTCGGCCACAGACCTGGCAACATCCTTGACTCCTTTGCGCCCCGTGTCCAAGACTCGGTGCTGCTGTCCTGTGTTCGGTGTCACTCTTGTGCTCTGGACAGCGCCACGCCCAGGTTTCCTGACTTATCGTCAGGTCACTCAGACAAGCTGCCCCCGCCCCACGCTAGGCCAATCTTGATCTCTTCTCAGGCCACACCTACGTGCCCTGCTCTTTCTCAGAGCCTCCAAGCAGGTGTCTGCCTGAGATTCCTTTCACATTACATTCCTCCAGGCTTCCCTGGGCTTCTCTCTCCAGCTACCTTCACAGCTCCCCTCACCACCTTGTCTTCCTCTGGGTGGCCCTGTGTCCTTTGTCCTCTGCCCTAGGAGAATGGCTTCCTGTGGTTTGGCTTCTCAGCCTTTCCATCCCCTGTGTAACTAATCTCCCCCACTAAATTCCTTTTCATGGTCTTTGTTTTCTTGGTTTCATCCTGACAGATATAATTCGTTTTCGGAATACATTCTGATTTGTTACCTCACTTGATAATAACAGTGACCGTCCTGATCACTTAGCATGGGCTAAACCATTAGGATGACTACCATCAAAACAAAATAACAAACACACCAGAAGGTTACAAGTGCTGTCAAGAATGGAGGAATTGGAAGCCTTGTGCACTGTTGGTGGGAATGTAAATGCTACAGCCGCTGTGGAAAACAGTATGGAAGTTCCTGAAAATAAATACGCGTGCGCACACACACACACAAATACATATATGTGTGTATGTGTATATATAATTACAATCTGATCCAGCAATTCCACTCTGGGTATATACCCCAAAGAATTGAAAGCAGGGTCTCGGAGATTTGTACAACTCTTCACAGCAACGCTATTCACATCAGTCAAGAGGTGGAAGCCACCCAAGTGTCCATCAGCAGATAAATAAAATGTGATATATGCATACGATGGACTATCATTCAGCCTTAAAAAGGAAGGAAATTCTAACACATGGGTGAACCTTGAGGACACTATGCTCAGTGAAATAGGCCAGCCACAGAAAGAAACAATACTGCATGGCTCCTCTTCTATGAGGTACTTAGAGTCAAATACACAGAGCTAGAAAGTGGACTGGGGACAGGAATGCCCATCAGTGTTGTTACCTAATCATTTGTGCAGCTACCATATAGAAAAGGCAGGACTGTGCTGCTCATTTTATAGGTGAGGGAAATAGAAATACCAAGAAGTAAAGTGACCTACCCAAGGTAACCTACAAAATTGACAAGAGGGCAGGGTTAGGTTGATTTCTGGTTTCTAGCCTTGTGGGCTTCCCATTGCAGAAAGAGGCCTTCGCTGGGAGTCCCTCTGTGTGAGCCCTGGATGAGCTTTCTGCTCTGGTTTGGTTGCAGAGAGGGAAGATCATAACAAAACCCTCCCTTCCCCAGCACTGCAGCAAAACTCACCCTAACCATCTGAACTTGCTTCCCTGTCTCCCTTGAGGCCCTTCAAACAGGTCTTCACTCCACCGTGCCAGAAAATTATTCATCACAAAATCGCCAGACGCTATTGCCAAGTCTGGTGAGTTTCAGTCCTCAGCCCCAGCTTGGCTGTCCCTCCTCCTGAGTCCTCAGTGTGGCCGTGCCTGGGGTATCTCCTCTTTTCTCTCTTGGCATCCTCTCCCCAGCCTGTGTTGTTAAAACCATCTGTGTGCAGAGCCTCCCCACTTCTCCACCAGGCATCTAATAGGTGCCCTGGAGGTGATATGTGGAACCAGACACTTCACTCCTGACTTCCCCTCCTCATCCCCCAAAACCTGTAGCTACCACCTCCTTCCCCATCTCAGTAAATCGAATCCCATCAACAAGTCCCACCAGCTCTACCTTGGAAACAGATCCAGTACTAGCGCATTCTCTCCTCCACCACTAACCCCACATCTGGGCACCCGCCTTCATCCCACCACAGTGCCTGGTTTTTTGAGGGGTTTTTCTTTTTGAGACGGAGTTTCACTCTTGCTGCCCAGGCAGGAGTGCAGTGGTGCGATCTCAGCTTACTGCAACCTCTGCCTCCCAGGTTCGAGCAATTCTCCTGCCTCAGCCTCCCAAGTAGCTGGGATTACAGGTATGTGCCACCATGCCCGGCTAATTTTGCATTTTTAGTAGAGATGGGGTTTCTCCACATTGGTCGGGCTGGTCTTGAACTCCCGACCTCAGGTGATCGGCTTGCCTCGGCCTCCCAAAGTGCTGGGATTACAGGTGTGAGCTCCCTCCCTCTTCCCCCTCCCTCCTTCCCCCCTCCCCGCCTCCCTCCTGCCCCTCCCCCTCCCCTCTTTCCCTCCTTCCTCCCCCACTGCCCTCTTCCCTCCTCCCCTCACCCTCTCTCCCTCCCTTCTTTCCCTCCTTCCCTTGCTCCCTTCCTTCTTTTTTCATTCCTTCCTTCCTTCCTTTTCCTCCTTCCCTCCTTCCCTCCCTCGCTTCCTTTCCTCTCTCCCTCCCTCCCATCCTTCATTTTGAGCCTGTCCTTCCTTCTGAACTCCGTTTATAGTGGACATTGATATAGATGGAGAGGCAAAGGAGCCAGACTCACACAAATGCAACAGGGCCCTGGAAGGGTTTTTTTAAAAAAATTTCTTGTTCTGAAACCCTATTCTGTGTTCCTCTGTGTGGTGCTCAATGGCCTTGTCCCTGAGGGGGAAGCCTGGCTTTTCAGGAGCTTCAGATTTCACCGCCTCAGCACCAGGCAGAAGCTGGCCTCAGCTCTCACAACTGCATCTGCAAATCCTGGGCAGGGGTTTCTTGGAGGCCTGCGTCCTCCCTCACACTCTTGTCGAACTTGAGCACAAGGCTGGGGAGGCCCCAGCTCCACCTCCCCCAGGGGAAGGGACCAGAGCCAGCCTTTTCTTCTACTGAGGTCTTTCACCTTGACTTAAGGAAGCGGTACCCTTTGCAGCAAGTCCTGTCCCACCTGCAGGAAACACTATTTTCCCCCAGAGCCCAGCAAGTGTTATCCACATTTCTTTTGAGAAGTTTCGAGTGGTGTCTCCCTCCCTCCCGTCTGCCAGGGCCCTCTCTGTTCAGCTGGGTTTACTTGTTCCCTGCCAAGCCTCCTCCTGAACTATGTTCTCCCTTCAGTGTGGTGGGTCAGCCAACGCCAACTGGCCCTTCATTTTCGAGACAAGATCTTGCTCTGTTGCCCAGGCTGGAGTGCAATGGCATGATCTTGGCTCATTGCAACCTCTGCCTCCCGGGTTCAAGCGATTCTCCCACCTCAGCCTCCTGAGTAGCTGGGACTACAGGCACATGCCACCATTTTTGTAAAGACAGGGTTTCCACAGGTGGCTCAGGTGCACTCGACCTTCAGAGCTCAAGTGATCTGCCTGCCTCAGCCTCCCAGAGTGCTGGGATTACAAGCATAAGCCACCATGCCTGGCCCACCAGTACCCCTTTTCAAAACTGAAATCTAGTCATGTTCTCTTTGCCTAATATTCTTTAGCGGCCCCTTGTCTCTTACAGAATAAATTCTAATTCTCTGCCTGCCACCCAGCCTTCTAGGCCCTGCCTTAGGCCCCTGTGGCTCTTCCTGAAGCTCTGTGGGGTCCTTCTGGGCCTAGCAGTTTGGAGACTCCCTTCTTCTGTGGTTTTGCTGAGCCTGAGCTCTCTGTTGGGTGGAAGCCTGTCTACTGCTCCTTCCCCTCCCTCTCCCATGCTTCCTCTTCCTCCAGGTCACCTACCTCAGGGCCCACACAGCCCTGTCACTGGTGACATTGCCAATGCCTTGAGGAGTTTTGTTATCAAGTAAATGGGTTCACTGCGCAATGCACAGCAAAGCCAGTGACAACGGTACCAGCTCTTGAGAAAAGAAGGGCTTTATTGCAAAACTGACCAGCAAGGAGGCAGGAGCTGGGCTCGAATCTGCCTCCCCAATTTGAGGTCTGGGGCAAGCTTTAAGGGATCAGAGGGCAAGGGATTTTGGAATGTTGACTTGGCAGGGTCTGATGGTGGGGGAGGCTTCAAATTTGCCCATTTATGGATAGATTTGTTAAGGCAGATTTGAGCCCTAGTCTCCCAGGCCAATGAACCCCTTCTTCTGAAAGATGTCTGTGTTCAGGTTCCAGTCCCATCCTGGTCTTCTTGATTCCAAGGGGAGGAGTTATTGGTTCCGGGTGTGGTTAGGGACCCAAGCATGTTCCACTGCACATGCCCGGGCTACATGGCTTGCAGCTTTGGCTCTGTTGTGCCTTCAAAGCAATGCCACATTCTGTCATCAACAAGGTAGGCCCAGTATGGGCTGGTCTCACAGTTACAGTTTCTCCTTTTATGTATTCATTTTGTAAAGAATGCCTAAGTGCTTGCGTGGTGGTCTTCTCATGTCTCATTTCTCTGCGTTCTGCATCCCAGCCCAGTCACTGTCATCATTGCCTTGGCTTTTCCAGGTGACTCTGAGTTGTGTGGCTCAGGCTTTGTGGCAAGTGTTGGCTCACCCGGCTGATTCACCAGGGCGCAGTCACTGTCTGGGCTGGTGGCCTGGCCCTGGTGAGCTTCCTCAGGCAGCGTGCCGAAGCACTTGCCACAAAATGATGCCTTCTGCCCCACCACCTTGGCGGCAGCAGAGCCTCTCTGTGGCCACGGGCCCACAGAGCTTCTGCACTGAAGGAGATGCTCCGGCCAAGGCCATGCTGTGACCAGCAGCCACATGTAGCCTCTGCACCTGCAGGGCAGCTGAAGAACTGAATTTTAAATTTTAATTAACTGTAGTTAATTCATTATTTATATTGAATTATATTTAAAACACATAATGCACCCACGTTATATGTAACAAACACAATATACTATTAATATATATTTATCAGAGCCACTTGTAGCTACTGTATTCCCAGTGCCCCCTGGAGTGTGTTGGAGATAGAGGGCGCGGTTGCCGTCACCAAGCTGCGGGCACTTGGTGCTGAGGGCGAGTAAGCTGCTGCTTGAGCGCTGGTGGCGCGCGCGTGCGGCTGGGGATGCGCTGGTTCCGCTAGGGGCGCTGGCGGAAGGTTGGGCTCCGGGACGCGGGGGGGCGGCGGGGGGCGGCGGGGGGCGGCGGGGG